TGCCTTCAGTGAGAATCTACAATGTAAATAGTCATGAAAATAAAGAAAACGCATTGAATGAGAAGGTGTGTCCAAACTTTTGGCCTGTACTGTATGTGGGTTATGTATGAATTACTGGCTCATCATTACGTGGTATATGTATGGATTTTGTTGCATTACTTTTAATAGGAAAATATACAGAGTGCATGAGAACAGCCTAAAATATGATTGGCTTAACTGAACTTGATGCCATTGTGATACGGTATTAGATTTTCATAACTGCAGCAAATTCAGGTTTTACCTCTTTCTGATAATACAGGGAAATGACAGCCAACTGCAAAAATAAGACCATCATTCTAATGAACTGGAATTATCCTTTATGTAAGCCCCATGTGACATAAGTATTTTTTCCCTATGATGGCTGATATATCATCAGTGTGTGGTTGACACCACCCAGATCTTTACCTGGGTCAAAATTTGTAGGGTGCTACACCACAACCATGAACATTTTATTGGGATAACAAGGGCAAGATTTAGAAAACTAAAAAGGAAACCAAACAAAGACAAACAGAGAAATTAGGACATGGTGTGGTTGGTGTGACTGCTGGAACTGTGGGGTGGGGGGTGGAGGGTAGGTGTCGCAGGTGAGGCTGTTATTTTTAGGACTTGTTTCACATATAGACGCTTATCACTTATATTTCCAGTGTTTGCCTTACTCTTGGGTCTTAATGGTGTGACAATTGTGAGGTGATGCATGTTGACAGGGCCTTCAAAATGTGCATGTATTTATGTATGTGTAGCATATACTGTGTGTGTCCTGTGCAGTGGAGTCACAACAATCCAGTTTTGGCATGACTTTGGTACCATTGCTTAAGATTATTTGACAAACATTTACCTCTAGTCAATGCAAATGTGTGCACTGGAATAGGCTGATAATAACCAGGGATTTGGCCAAAACAACTAGTACTGCAGTCTAACATTAAATTTGGTTGGTCATTTCACAAGAATTGTGAACTGAACTGTGAATTGTGTATTTAACAGGACATTTTACATTAAAACAAAGTACAAAATACCGGACGTCTCCTTTAACATCTCTACTGCTTTATTTCATGATTTTCAGCTGCACGTTATTAAATATGGAGGCTTTCTAACTTTTTGATGCCTAGTTTGGTTTGCTTGGTCACATTAGAACAATGTCATTCACACAATGTCAGTCATTCAGACTTGTGTGACACCAAATAACTGCATTGGCACTCCTGGAGAAGATTTAATAGATATAAAGAGCATGTGCCATTGGATAGCCAACAGCTCCTGATGCTTGGACAGCTAGTAATGACAGTAAACCAGGGCTGGACCCAGGGCCGGACTGGGACAAAAATTCAGGCCGGGAGTCATACATCCACCTAGGCCACCCAATCCACACATTACATGCTCACACACCTGCATGTGCACACGGACACACATATGGGCTAAGTAATCACCAAAGCTCATTATTCCAGACTGACAGTCACACAACAACTCTATTAAACACAACTGTAACAGCAACCCTACTCATAGTCCTCCAGTCCAGTGCTTTTCTCTTCCCTTCCCTCACCAAATGTGCCCCTCAATAAACCAGGACTCCTATATGAATGGTTATTATGCTGAACTAAACAACATGATTGTATTATTTTGTCAGCAAATCATTTTGATGTCAGCTTATCATAATCAATATGGCAACACCCATATTCAATGCAACAGTAAAACAAGTAAAAATATAAGTCTGCAGCAACTTCAACTTATCTGATCTTATTTCAGTAAGATTAGATAGATATTGAAAACTTTTGAACTTAGACAGATAAGAGCCTATCCTTAAGAGGGGTCCCCAAACTGTTTCAGCTCTGTACAAAATGGAACCAAATGGACCCTTACGGGTTAATTTGGCTCTTATAGCTTATCATCAATCATTTATCTGGCCTCGGGCAGTCCCCATCCTCCCCGGACCTCATGTTGAGAATAACCAGTTTTCTTACTTTTCTATGTTAACTTACTTGTTGCAGCATCGTCATTTGATGATGTCACACTGCTGCTGGGGGCAGGGGGGGCTCAGAACATATCTGTAAGTTTATGACATTTGGTCGCCTCCTCCTCAATGGCCCCCCTTTTTTTTTTATCTCTCTCCCGTTCAGCTCCACCTTTCCTCTTTTTGCGGTCCACTGTAATGGCGCTGCTGAGCTGCAGAGCTCCTACTGCACAGTCTGCACACACAGGCACACGTACACACCCTCTGCTCTCTGCTCCACCTGACTCTCCACAACNTTTTCAAGTTTTTGGGGATAAATGACAATAAAGAAATTATGAATAAATGTAAACCTCAGTGTTTCCAATACATTAATTTTAATGTTTTGCATAGAGATTCCTTTTTTTTTAATTATCTAAAATATGTAAAAAAAAAAAAAATTGTTATTGTAGCATCTTGAGTCACTCAGCAACTAATTGCTCCGCTCTCTCTTCGTTTATCGTGAGAGTCCGCTGCATACAGGAGAAATTTGCCATTAGGGCTTTATTCATTTTAATAACTACAAACAGTATCTGCAGATGTATGCAGGATCTGTAGACAACAGGAAAAGATTCTTGCATCACAGTTTTTGATGTTTCTGTCTGTAATCCAAGCAGTATTGGCCGATCATGTTTGAACTACAGGTGAACAGACCAATGGAGAGGTGGAACACATTGGCCAAAATGCAGTCTCAGAACCAATAAGCTATCGTCTGATGGTGAGTTAGCTCTATATTAGCTTTTTTGTTTTTAATTTATTGCATTCATTTGCAGATATCTGTTTATAAGGATTAGACAAAATGATATCTCAGATATCTACTAGCTACACCAGATCATCCCAAAATATAGGCCCTTGCCCCAAGAGGCTTTTCATCTTCAGACTGGAGGACAATGGGTTCCAAAGTTGTATTCATTTTAACCTAGGCTACTATTTCCTAACCTTAACGAGGAAATCCCTTTCTGACAGAAAGTCCTGAAGGCAAACTTCTCCTAACAGCAAGTCCACTCGCACACACACACAGTGACAGGGCTAACTATTAGTATCACATGCCTAAAGTTCTAAATCTGAAATTTGTTGCTGTGTTTGTGCTTCTGTTTCATGCCGCTTTTCAGGGGTTGTCTCCGATTCTGAACCTAATATTATGAGCACTTGTGATAATAATATGCACCCCAGCCCCCACGGCTGGCCAAAGCTTTGCTCTCAATTACTACCTAAGTTCTGGTACCTAAACAATGATATATGGGACAACCCTACAACAGACTGAAGACTCTTTAGGGGGCCTATGTATGCTGCATTTTTTTGTGCCCTCTGATCCATTGTTTTTGATGTAGACACACAGTGGATGCATTCAAACGTCACAGCAACGGTGTCGTGACATGCATCTTTCCCTTCTTCCGCAAAGATCGGTCTGTGGTACATATTGAGAAGTTGACCAATTTAGTGCAGGGCTACCTATGGACAATATTTTAGGCCAACACACTTAATAAACAGCGCCTGAAAGGACATCAGCTCCTCACTCAGAATTTTAGCTAAGTAGGCTATGATACGATACTTGTAATGTTTGTTTAGCAACCTGCCTCCACACTCGTGACAGTGTGCCAGAATAGGCACAAGAGTAACACCGAGGACCCAACCTCACATTTTCCAGGCGGTTAAAGATGTGGCACGTGTACGGCCCCTAAGCCTCATGAAAAGTATGTATCACCATATTGCTGGTACTCAGCATTGGTATCAAAGACATGTTTTTGGTGTCATGACAGCACTGCTCCTGTATATTGAGTATGCACTGAACTAGCACTGAATTGGTCTGTAACTCGTTTCTCCAGCACTCCACTCCTGACTGCTGTGAATATAATGGTGCATCGAAGAGAAAGTACAGTTGCGGTTTGACTTCATGTTTGTCCAAATCCACTGTATGTGTGGATACGTATGTGTGTTTGTCTGAAGGAAGGAGAGAGAGAGAGAGAGAGATAGAGAGAGAGAGAGAGAGAGAGAGAGACAGGGAGAGAGAGAGAGAGGTGGTTTGTAAGGGCTTCTAGCTGCACTTGCAGGACTTAACCTTCATGTTGGAGAGCTGCTCTATTTTTGGGGTCTTCCCAATGTAGTAGAGGATGGTGAGGGGCTCCAAGTCCTGGGAAACGCAACAGGGTGAGGCTGATGCTTCAGGGTTGATGGTGTTATACAGGCCTAACACCTGAAACACAGGAATTAGAACCATTCCATGAACAAAATATGACCTGAAGTAAAGTAGAACCTTATGAACTCTGATCTCACAGGCTGTTGATCTTTGACCCTGTCCCTCCTACTGTACCTTGGAATGCTGGGTGTCGGCACTCCACAGATACGGACAGGCCCCGGCACAGAAGTTGGCCTCATAGCCCTTTGGCTCGTGGATCCACCTCCAGCCCAAATCCTTCTTAAAATCAATGTAGAGTGACCGTAAGCAGCAATTGTCCTGAACGTTTCTACAAAGAGATGAAGGGGAGAGGTGAATTGTGGTGCAGTAGGAATAGTTTATTATAGATGGAGGAGTGGAGACAGGATTAGACAGGTGAAGAGTCAGGTATCAGTAGACTTTGGCCCTGTTATTTAAAGGATACTTCCAGTTTTATTCCATTATTGCATTTATAGTTGGTGTGGTCATCATTACCTTCTGTAATAGTAACAGTGTATTACAGTTGCAAGCTGTCTTCCTCAACATCTCCATGCACATCAAAGGACCTCAGTGTCCGCAGGGAGAGCCGCCTGTTCTTCCTGCAGACACTGAGGTCCCTTGATGTGTGTTTGGAGATGTTGACCATGTTCTATCACACAGCAGTGGCCAGTACACTTTTCTGCCATGCAGTGTGCTGGGGAGGCAGCAAAAACACCAAGTGATTAAACAAGCTGGTTAAAAAAGCTGGCTCAGTGCTCGGCACGAGACTGGACCCACTAAGAACTGTGGTGGAGAGGGACACACTGAACAAACTGAAAGCTGCAATGGACAATAGCAGAGACCCTCTCCAGCCTCCTGGAGTGACAGAACGGAGTGTTTCAGGAGATCCTTTGTCCCCATGGCAATAAGACTGTTTAACACCTCCTGAATCCAGTCACAAACACTTACACACAAGTGGCCAAAACTGGCTGGACTGTGGAATGGACAATTTTATTTCAATATAATTTCTATTTGTGCATTTATTTTAACTTATTTTATTTTTTGTCTATTTTAATACCACTGTGTTGTTGTTGATGGGTAAATGTGGTTGTTGTTTTTTGTCTTTTATGAGCTGCTGGACAGCTGAATTTCCCTTCGGGATGAATAAAGTTCTTTATATACTATTCTATTCTATTCTATTACATAATCAATTCTATTCTATTGTAGTTAATTACTGAGTCTAGAAAATACAATGGCACCACTTAAATTGATGTAGTAACCCCTGATAATAACCACTGTCTCAGTCCAACGATGGTCTTTGGCATCAGAGACATTTTTGCATTATTTCATCCAGTAAAAATGAGGTTCATAAGTACAGACAATTGGCACAGTCAGAGAAGAAAAGAAAAAATCATAGTCAATTACATTTCACATTAACCAAGCCTGAAGCTGTACACAACAAAATGGCCCAAGCCCAACTAAAACCCAATATGTTGCTGAGACCATCCAGGCTCCCAGGAACAGCACTGGACTGGACACTCGGGAAAAGTTCGGGTGGAGGTGTGTGTGTTTGTCAACTCTTGCTGGTGTACTAACATCAAGATACACAGTACGATCTGCAACCTGGACCTGGAGTTGCTTTCTAACTCCCTAGGGAGTTCTCGACTGTTGTGTTTAGTTGTGTATATGTTCCACCAAGCGCCAATGTGAAGGCAACAGCCGAGCAAATAGCGCAAAACACACACGCTATGCTTAGCAGGTACTCCGATGCTCCGGTGTTCCTCCTCAGGGACTTCAACAGCTGCCGACTCGATCAGACTCTACCAGCCTTTCAACCAATACGTGGATGTACCAACCAGAATCAACAAAACCACAGACTTGTGTTATGGCAACATCCCTGGTGCATATACCTCCAGAGCTCTCCCACCGCTTGGTCGGGCAGACCACAACATGATCCATCTACTTCTTGTGTACAAGCAGCAGCTGAAACAACACAGGCCAGTGAAGCGCAGCGCCCTCCAGTGGACGGAGGACGCCATTGCATGTCTCCAAGGCTGCTTTGCATATACCGACTGGGAAGTCTTTGAGGGAGAGCTGGATGAGTAAACTTCAGTCATCACAAGCTACATCAAATTCTGTATAGATACCCTGACACCAGTAAAGACTATAAGAACTTATCCCAATTCAAAACCTTGGATCACTCCAAAAATCCAACACCTGTTCAAAAAGAAGAATGATGCCTTCAGACAACAGAACTCCACAGCACTTAAGATTATTAACCGGGACATTAAAAATAATAATCAAGGCTAAGTTAAACTATAAACTCAAAGTGGAACAGGAGTTTGCAAATACAAACACAAAACAGGCCTTTCAGCGAGTCAAAACACTCACAGGACAAGCCACCAAGCAGACCACCTGCACGTCAGACCCCATAACCAGATTTGATACATATGATTTTTCAGCAGAGCGTGCCAGCCTTTTGGACTTCTTGCCCCACCAAAAGTTGGACTACGAGACCCTCCTGACAGAGCGGGATGTCCATCTCCAGTTCACCAAGTGCAAACCAAACAAGGCTCCTGGGCTGGATGGCATTCCAGGTCAGGTTCTGAAAAGCTGCGCCCTGGAATTAACCTCTGTCCTCCAATCCCTCTTCATCCAATCCCTCTGTACCTCCACAGTTCCAGGTATGGAAAACATCAACCATCATCCCTGTTACAAAGAAGTCCCACCCATCAGAGCCGAATCACTACAGGCCTGTGTGTCTCACCTCCGTCATAATGAAATGTTTTGAGAAATTGGTTCAAATGATCATCCTGCCATATGTGTCCCCACTGCTAGACCCTCCACAGGTTCCTCTCCAACAGACCCCAGGCAGTGAGGGTCGACCAGTCCTTGTCCTCCACCATCACGCTCAATACTGTTGCTCCGCAGGGGTGCATGCTCAGCCCGTTCCTCTACACCCTCTAACACGAATGACTGTCAGAGTCCATCCCCCACCACACTTTATTTTAAATATGCAGATGACACGGCCATTCTTGCATTGCTGAACAATAACGACTCCTTCGCTGCCTACCAACATTCCATTTCCCATTTCAGCACATGGTGCGACAATAACTATCTCCATCTCAACATCTCCAAAACCAAAGAACTGATTATCAATCAATTCCATTTCAATCAATTTTATTTATTAAGCCCAATATCACAAATCACAATTTACCTCACAGGGCTTTACAGCATACGACATCCCTCTGTCCTTAGGACCCTCACAGCGGATAAGGAAAAACTCCCCCAAAAAAACCCTTTAACGGGGGAAAATTACAGTAGAAACCTCAGGAAGAGCAATTGAGGAGGGATCCCTCTTCCAGGACGGACAGACGTGCAATAGATGTCGTACAGAACAGATCAACATGGTAAATTAACAGTAATCCGTATGACACAATGAGACAGAAAGGAAGACAGAGAGAGAGACAGAGACAGAGAGAGATGCAGGACAGACGGTAATGACAGTAGCTTACAACAACAATAATTAAAGTTATAATATTATAATTAATATTACAGGCTATTTTGGTACAATATGTTGAAAGTATATATTAATATCTGATAGTATACATATGTGACAGCCCTCCCAAAACCCTGGCCCCCCTCCCCAGTCTCTTCATCCACGGGGAGAAGGTGGAGGAGGTGGAGTCTTCCAAATATCTCGGCATCACACTGGACAATAACCTGAGCTTCAATCAACACACCACGGACACTTACAAACGCTGCCAACAGAGACTCACGGCTATACGCAAACTCCAACACCTGTCTGTTCAACCCCAACTCCTCCTCCTGTACCGCAGCACTTCTTCCCCATGCTGACAATTGTTAATAGAAACAAACTCTTGAAAGTAACCCATCTGGCAAGCTAAATCATTGGCTTGACTACTCCTAACCTATCTGACAGTGTCACCTCATCTCTAACCAGTAAAGCACTTAGATCACACAGGACCCTGACTATCCACTCCACCAATACTTCATTCCCCTCCCCTCCGGCCGTGGTTACAGGTTACCTCTGTGCAAAAAAGCCAAGTTCAACAAGAGTTTCATTCCTGCAGCTATACGTGCCCTAAATGAATGAATAACACCTATCTGACAATGCCTGAATTACTCACGTGCGTCCCCGGTGAAAATCGCTGACATGCATGGGGAATACAGCTTCTACAGGCTCGCCATAGCTTACTGTCAGGACTCAGGGACCAGA